CAACAGTCTCGTTTCCTGTTGACTGGGTTCCGTCCAATTACGCAAATTATTAAAATAACCAGTCCAGAATTTTTAGACGAATTCATTCAGCTGGATACATAAATATTAATTAGTATTATTTGATACATCTAAGCACTTGTATATTGCAACACTACGCTCCTTCTAACCCTTGCAAACACGTCGTGCAGCGTGCTCTGTCGTACAGCGTGCTCTGACAAACGGATATCTGTCAATCGTGGAAATCTCAAAACGAGGCTCCGCCGTTTGAAAATGTGGCGGTCTGGTACGGACTTAATATTATATTAATCACATTGTGCGTTAAATAACTACCTTGAATAAGCGCAAAGAACGCATATCAGGTGTAACCAGTGAGCCAGATGACTTGTGAATCATTTTACTACCTCATCAAACAGAGGTAGTCTGTGACGTCTTAGTTAAGGTAATGCTGCCTACACCTCGCCATAAAATATAGAAATACGATGTTATTAAAGTTTAAACTTAGAATTAACTTGTAAATGCCATTTTGTTATGAAACAAGGAATTGAAATTCAGTGTAATCATAGTTGTGTGTGGTGTCTCTTTTCACTTTCACATGAGAAAATTCGGATCGGCTGAAAAGTAGGTCATTTCTGAATAGGTTAATGAGACTTGTGTTTCGGTTTGTAACGTTAACGTTAACTTCTTTATTTCTCCTTCAACCACCCAGCGGTGGTACAAGAGTACAAAAGCATCGGATTACTTAAAAAATGACAAGATGGGGCTCAGTTAGCATATAAAGTGTGATAGTATACTATTAATAAACATCGATAGCTTTTTCCATTCCGCTGTTTTCTTTGTACACACTAGTTGCTTGAAGGTAACCAGATTTTTCCATTTAAGGTATTGCAAATGGATATACTTTAGTCTACTATCATTAAGTAACTACATCTTAGTAAATAATGAAGTTCATCAGCTATTGTCGGGGGAGTCGCATAACTTACATGTTCTATTTTCTCAGGTTATGCCCTCCCAGCGGCCGGTCTCAATGGGTAGAAGGTGGCTAGTTGTTCTGAATTTCAGAAATGGGATATAAACATTAGTTGGAAGAAAAAAGTAACGTTCAAATGTTAAAGAGTCTTTTATAGTCCTATAATAAAGAGCCTTGGGGCTATTATTCATTAAAGACCACCAGCTCTGAGTAAATTGGTCTTTTAAAACTAGTTCGACCTTTAAGGCCAGCCATTCAGTGTTAACACACTTTGGCTTTCTGAAAAATATTACTAAGACCTAAATGATTTAACGTACATTCAATATCATTTAACCACTTATCTTGATAGTCATAGTGCTGTGTTTGTAGTGTAACGAAGTTGTGCAAAGTGTGAGATAATTTAACGTTTGATATTTTAGTTTCAGCAAGGGTGTGCCAACATTTAATCAATCGCTTTACAATCTTAATTCTCAGAGGATACCTTCCCGTTCCTCTGAAGACCATGTAAGTTAGGGTAGATACTTTAAGATTACAGATGAGTTTCAGAAACTTCAAGTGAACTTTTTCAATAATTTCCAGTGATTCATGTCCCCAGGTTTCACATCCATAGCATAGCATGGGAACAACCATTACATCGAAAGCCCGGATTAAACAGTCAATCGGGAAGTTAATATTTCTTGCCGTTTTTAAAAGGCAAAACATAGCCTTACTTCCTGAATCAGTTAAACTTTGGTAGCGTGTACCAACCTACCAGATCTATGTAGTTTTAAGCCTAGATACATGTAAAAGTCAACAATCACTAGTACATGTCCTCCGAAATAGAATATATGTTTACTTTTAGAAGGTACTCTACCACTAAAGATTACAATTTTGGTTTTGGATATATTGACATCAAGTTTCCACTGCACTCACTACATACCGAACGAATTTAATAATCTCTGGAGTCCATTAGGACTTTAACTAACAAGTACTGCGTCATCTGCATATAAGAGAATAAAAATGTGTAAAACAATATTCACGTCTAAACCCATATCTAACGGCATTCCGCTCATTCCAGCTGAGCCACACTCTATTGTTCCTGTCAAGCACGGGCAAGGTCAACATTTATTCATCCGAAAACAATACGTTTTACCAACGATGATTGGTCCAGCCCTGCCGCTCTTCCCACCAACGACGTCTGCAGTATTATGACGGTTTGTTAATCATGGGATAACGCCGGACAAGCAGGTTCCATCTCTGTAACCCATTACGAATCGCCTGTCCATTCACTCTTACATTTGTAGTTCAGTGATGCTCATCTCCAATTTAAGAGACACTTTGATCGTGGTTTTGTAACACAGTCGTTCTGATCGACCAGATCGACGTCTGCCATCAACGTTATTTATCTGTCAACATTATGATTGTAATCTGCTAATTATTGACTGTCACGTTTCTCTGCATAGGTATAATGAACACGTTATGAATGGAATAATATTACGCAAAACATCCTGTTGTTAACAACATTGTTCTGCTTCAGAAATATATGTAACTTGAATGTATATGGGCCTAAGGCCTTTCGTACTATAAAGCATTGATTCATTGATTGATTGATTGAATGGAATACTTATTTTCAAATCCATAAGCAATCATACAAGTTGGTTCTCAAATAATATCACCCCACAAATGGAATATCGATGATTTTCTAAAAGTATATTTTACTTGGTTTTGCTGTAGTCGTCGTAGTCGTCGTCGTTGTCGTCATAGTGGTGGATGTCACTGTGTTTGCAACTGTGATTGGGGCACATTGTGAGAGAGCAGCCTCGAATTTCTGAACTCTCTCATAAGACACATCCACCTTCTCCTCTATCACCCGCTGACGTGCCCTCTCCACAGCAATCTCCTTCTTCAGTAGCTCATGTTCCTTGAACTGATTCTTAAATTCCTCTTTTATCTCTTCCTTCAACTCATTTATCACTTCCGACCGAATGCGTTTTGTGTTCTCTTTTAACTTCAGGATACACGTATCTGTGCCGTTTTCTTTATGCTCTACGGCATGAAGCTTCACTGTCATCATCAGGTAATAAACTGCAGCTACAGCGTGAAGCTTAGCTCTCTTCATCGTGACTACTCTATGTAGTTGTGATTTTAATATCCGGACTTAGGAACTCGGGTCCAAATGTCACGTTGATTGTTAGTTGTTATGAGGGAGTAGGGGGGAAGGGGGAGAGAGAGAGCATGTCTAATGGCAGGAATTAGTAAATTATGTTTACTAAGTTAATGTTGCCTTATTATCGAGGTTAATATACAGTGTTTGATTAATAACGATTTAGTGCTGATATGAATTATCGTGGTTGTTTGAAATGTAATGCCACAGGAAATTGTCCTCTGCTACCTTTTGAATGTACAGAGATACACCCGTTGATGTGTTAAATAGACAAGCAGCGACGCTTACAAAGAGCACAAATGGAACTGTGCTGACAATGATTCCAGCAACGTTATTCGGATTTTCAATGGTGCTTTTCTAATAACTATTAGTCACTACTTGAGCAATGTATGCTAGTTTGAAACAAATACATATTCCTAAGGCAAATACCAAACTCACTATATATCCAAAAAGTGTATATATGTATATAACTATTTTTTACACTACTTCAGCTGACAAAACTGATAGGAAGATAAGAAACGGAAAATTGAATAAGTCATTGTAAATACAGAATCGTTCTGTACTCCACATACTATTCATTGGAAATATAATAAACAAGAATGGTTTCAGCAAACTGCAAATATACAACATTCCGGTCGGTATAATATACAAAACAACAAAAAGTTGGATATTTTGTTGAAAATGTTCATTTATATCAGTTCTGATACTATTTGTTAGTAGAATATGGAGTGATTATAAAGTATTGCCCCAACCATCTGTCATTGTCAGTGTAAATGTATACCACTTGCATGTGCATGTAAAGAAATATAAGGTGATATTGTTCACACGTCATGTCACATAACCCAAATTTTAACAAACATATTATCTTATCTCAGTATCACACTGTTATAACACAATTCATTTCCGACAAACTCTTGGAAATCACGCACTTCACGTCTCACTGATGTTATGATTGTTTACAAAACATTCATTGCAGGATCAGGCCTCTAACCGTCTCTGACAAGTGGTATAAAAATGGAGTTTATATATTTACAATATTCTTAATAATATATTATTTGTCCTGTGCATTTCCTTATCATACCAAACGGCACTGTTAGCTGTTTGACATAGCGGGGGCCAAAGAACATGAACAGTTTAAGATAGCTTAAAGATCAATTACAATGCAAATAGCTGATCACGACCCATGTGCTCTACAAGTGTACATGTCCAGCAATGTTGCTGACACAAAACACGTGAAGCTAGTTAGAAATGGTCAGATAATTAGAATCATGACTTTTGTCGCTCATTGTCATCCTTAAAGATAACAACCTAACATAATATATTAAGACATGTGCGACCCCGACCTATGTCCACCTACTTACCACGAGTGTATATGTTCGGTAGAACTGCTGACACGACCTGGCCACTCTGTAGCAGTAGGACAAGGCCTGGTGATGGATACGCTCCGTAAAGTCGAAAATATAGACCAATGTTCTTATACATGGCGCGGGAATGTCGGATAAGGCAATCCATCTCTAAATACCCCATAAAAAGTCATAAGAATTGTATTTAAAATAAATAATTTATATTTTTTGAAATACGGAAACCACGACGGGCAAACTTACGAGTGTACCTCAAGGAGAGATGTAGGTACAAAAATTAGAGGGCGAAACATATATACGCTTCCCAAGGTAACAATACAAAGGTTCCCCTCCAATACCCGACTGAGGACATTCCAATGCAATGAAATCCCTACGAGAGTGAGGATATCATTTTAATTTCAAACATTATCATAATTATTGATTATGATGCATGTTTGAAAATGGGTACGAGTTTCGTAAAACCGGAATTTACATACAATCATGACATATTATCTAAAGACCTTATGCAAATAGGAAAGAAAACAATACGGAAAACGAAATTGTTTATTTGCTTTGGGTTTGAAGTAGAACACACTACATGAAGAGAGAAATTTTGTGTCTAGGACGCATCCTTCTCGCATATGTAGTAGAAGTCAAAATCAGTTCCTGCATCCTTCCACTTGTAAACAGACTGGTATGTTGAAATCAATGCTTTACACCTCCCATCATCCATACAGTTCGGTTCTCCTGAGGTAAAGTCATTGAAGCCTACCTCTGTGCCGTCAGCCCACATGTATTTTCCGCCCGCATATATCATCCCCATCCAGAAATATGCAGAAGTTTTCTGGCCAGGCGGGTAGTCTGAAATTACACATAAAGGATCACAATACATGTGTATCTGTGTCAATAAATATGTTTGTCTTTCTTTGATGGACGTTCAAAACTTCCATAATTACAAAATATCTGTGTGTTCTCGCATCAATTAACCGAGAGGTTTCTAGTCAGGGATATCACACTGGACCAGCATGACTTACAATCATAATCGGTACTGGAAGATGCAAAAACAGGATCAACAGATCCTAGCACCGCAACAGGTTACACCACAGGTTTCCGAAATGTGGCACCTTTGACAAATGGTCCACCTGTCCGTCTTCTCGGTACGAAAATATTGCTAGGAATTTATGTTATAAATACAAAGCATTACGAAATACCTGTGGCATTTTAAAGAGATATTTGATTATCTCCACTTTGTCAAAAAACACCAAAAGGTGGCTAAAGGGTCACGTGTCGAACTGTGGTAGCAGGTTGTATCTGAAGAACAATAAGGAGACGTCGACATGTGTTCCTGCCACACATCTAATACTTGCATTGGATATAAGTCCGTATAGTACTTACATTCCTTTATTTTCTCCAGCAGAAAGTCGTTCTCAGCTTCCGTATTGATAGAGACGAGGTCAGCACCAAGCACTCGACATCTACTTCTTGCAGAAGCCCAACTGGTTTTATCCAGCTCCAGTATGTAACAGTGGTCTTCAAACTTCACAAAGCCAGCAGCACACACCTCTACAAAATGAAACGTTGATGAGGAGATGTACAAAGCAGTTTTATTCACTTTGTGACAACAAAACAGATAAAAAAAATTTATGAGAGCAGACGGGGGAGCTACAATGTAGAAAATTATGTAAGAAAGTGAATGACTGAAATATAGTCCACAGTGTCAACAAAACATAAAAATGATTGGAGACAACAGATGGAGAATCAAGGGCACAAAGTATACAGGAAAGTGAATGTCTGAAATATACAGTACACATGTCGACTGAGTGTTAATTAAATGACACAATGATACATACGTAGCTGAGTATCAACAGTATCTATCGACATGCACAGTGGTACATATCAGCCAAATCTTGAATCCTTTCTAAATGTACCAATACACAACAAAATGTCAAATCTGCTGGTCTCATACGATGTAATAGACGTATATGAAGTTTTGGAAGGTTAAGTATGTTCACTGTGACATTCTGGTTATTTGCTCAAACACGTCACCTCATTGTGCATTTTGAGGATATTATGTTTAAATATCGAACACACAATATATACTTTACTTGGTTTTACTGTGGTCGTGGTGGTGGTGGAGGTTGTTGTGTTTGCGGCTGTGATAGAGACTGTTGTAATCATAGCGCATTGTGAGAGAGCAGCCTCGAATTTCTGAACTCCCTCATAGGACACATCCACCTTCTCCTCTATCACCCGCTGACGTGCCCTCTCCAGAAGAATCTCTTTCTTTAGAAGCTCAAGTTGCTTGAACTGATTCTTAAATTCCTCTTTTATCTCTTCCGTCAACCTTTTTATCACTTTCGACCGAACGCGTTTTGTGTTCTCTTTTAAGCTCAAAATACACGTGTCTGTGTTGTTTTCTTTATGCTCTATGGCATGAAGCTTCACTATGATCATGAAGTATAAAACTGCAGCTACACCGTGGAACATGGCTCTCTTCATCGTGACTACTCTATGTAGTTGTGATGTTAATATCTGGACTTACTTGCCTGGGTCTGAATGTCACTTTGATTGTAATTATAAGCTATTATGAGAGAGGGACATATCTAATGACAGGAGGTAGCAAAGTAGTTAAACTAGGTCACAGCACGTATCCAACTTATTAGTGAGGGCATCATGCAGTGTGTGAGTGGTGCCCATTTAATGACGGGATGAATTATCGTGATTGTTTGAAATGGAATGATACAAACACGGTTCCTCTGCTATCGTTTGAAAGAGATCCATCCGTTCATGTGTAAAATAGTCCAACAGAAATGTTTGACTCACAGAAATAAAAGGTAAAATGAAATGTGCTAACAATCATTTAATCGAGATTATTTAGCCTGATTTGCAATCACTATCACTATTTGTAAAGGTGCTATTCTGATAACTGTTAGTCACTTCTCAAGGCGAATATCATAAATGCCATATTCGGGAAATGCAAAAAATGAAGGGTATTTCGAAAGATGCTATAGTGATAAGTGTTAGTCATTTCACTCAGGATGAAAATTCTTAAGGAAAACACACACAAATATATTTTAAAATTCACACATACGCGAACACACACGCTCATTATATCAAACCCACATACAAAACATTCATAACATACAAGACTGACAGGAAACTATGAAAATAGATCCGCATGCCCATCGTTGCTGTACCAATCGTATATCATATTTTTCAGTTTACTTCTATAAACTTATGTTATAATTTGCTGATCATTGTTTGACGAATATGAGTCTGTTGCTGTCTACCAGTGCCATTGCCTGACAACCGTATGAGGACCTATACCGAAATGACAGAAGAAAGAAGCTCGCACCGATAAAATATCATGCTTTTACCAGCGCTATTACTTGACAACCGTATGAGGACCTATACCGAAATCACAGAAGAAAGAAGCTCGCATCGATAAAATATCATGCTTTTACAGTTCGTTTCGATCTTCTAAAACCTTAATCAGAGAGTATAAGTATACTTTGAACGTATATTTTACAAACATTACACACAATTAGAAGGTGTATATACCCTGATACTTTTATTCTTAAAAATGTTCATTACATCAGTTGTGATACTATTTGGTAGCACAATGAGAAGTGCTATAAAAGATTTTTGAAAACAGTATATATGTCCGATAAATATATAAAATTATTGTCCTCCTGAGAGGGTACGTAAGTCCCAAAACATTTAGTCAATCTAAGTGTACCTGCTTTTTAATCGTAGAATAAGTGTGTTTTTAATTTATGGCTAGATTTCTCTTCTGTCGCCAATTGCTGAAGGGATGGTGTAAATCCAACTAGGGTCCATGCAGGTAACAAAAGTAATGTAAGTCCCCATGGTTCCTAGTATGGTGATCTACCTTCAGTTGTTGGCGACCTATAGCCAATTTTTACATTGTATTGTCCAGAAATAATTTTCTACTTTTAAAGATATATGCTACCTAGTTTTAACTTAATCTGTGATAATCTAGTGGTTTTACTGTCCTTCGTTGACAGGGTTTTATATATTATATGTATGTATTATAAATTTAGAACTAGTTTTAGTCACGATATGGCTGAAATATTGCCGATGTGACTTTAAATCTCAACTCACTCACTCACTCACTCACTCACTCACTCACTATTTCAATGTCCAATGTTCTCGTCACGATATGGCTGAAATATTGCCGATGTGACGTTAAATAATAACTCACTCACTCACTCACTCTGTGAATATCTGTGAGCACATGGTTTCTCCGGTACAACAACGGTTATTGCTGGCAACAACAACAATCACATAGCAGAATATATTTCCGATACATGATTACAGCAGAATTTCTGACACTACGAAATATGAAGCTAATTAGTAATGGTCAGATAATTTGAATGAATTATATCGCCCATTATCACCCTAACAACATAATAACATAATATATCCAGACATGTGTGGCCTTGACCTGTGCCCACCTAATTACAACGATTTTATTTGTCCATCAGAATTGACGACACTGTGAAATTTCAAGCAAGTAAAAATGTACTAACAAAGCAGAACGGTGGTCGCCTATCTGCAGGCATGGCAGGCAAGCAATGCAGTCGGCAAACAGCAAAAAGACAAGCCAGAGACAAGGAGGGACGAACACTGACCAGCCAGTCCAGCCCATCTTCTGCATAAGTGTCAGTCCGACTGGTATCTTCCCATAAGATAGACCTCCCAAAAGACAGACCGCTTAAAACAACACATTTTATGGTTGGTTGCATAAGGCTTAATTAAGCTGTACCCTTGATAATAATGGTATGTGACCAAATAAATAAAGACAAGATTAGGTATTAACTATAGTTTTATCAATTCATGTAATGAATTATGATTTTTAAATTAAAAGACATTTTGCATCAACATATATGTACATCAACATATTTGCCAGATCACATTAACTTGTCAATATTATATTTAAAAAAATCATTTATATACATGTACCTATCAAACATATGAGACCAAGCACTATATTATTTTACATCACATGTTTGTCAGTGCACAGATAACACTTTTTAAAAAGTCACTTCAACATCATCATTTTCTCCTTCACCTTGTTCTTGGCATACAGGGGCGGTGGGGTAGCCTAGTGGTTAAAGCGTTGGCTCGTCACGCCCAAGACCCGGGTTCGAATCCCCACATGGGTACAATGTGTGAAGCCCATTTTCTGGTGTCCCCCGCCGTGATGTTGCTGGAATATTGCTAAAAGCGGCGTAAAACCAAACTCAGTCAGTCAGTCAGTCTTGGCATACAGGTAGCCATCTAGAAGGGTGCTCGGAAAAAAAATCATAGGGAGAAAGTTATGGAAAAAGGTCATGGGAAAAATAACTATTACAAAACATCCTGTTCTCCAGTTATATACTTTGTTTATACCGAATTTTATAAATGCTATTTCACTTTCATCTTCACATGATCTCAAGTAATTAAAACATCCTGTTCTCCAGTTATTTGCAAAAACTAATTCAGCAACTGTTATAAAAACGTCCTACTCTCCAGTTATTTATACTTGTATGATCTTGAGTGTTTTCTTTATGAGCATGATGTACCTGGCCTCGAACATGTAAATAAGCTGTAATTTTACAGTTAACAGAAACTGATATAGAGACAAGCAATCTAAGGGATCCCGGCCCCAAAAATGTTTGTTGATTCACAAACCCTGATTAGCATCATCATCATCATCTTTATTCTCAAAAACCCACCAACGGTGGTACATGATACAATTAAATACAGATGAATATAATAAATGCCAAGATAGCAGGGATGTACACCGAAGTTTACAATACATATACATGTACAAAGATATATCATTTGAAAAAGCGTAAATGTTACAAATTAGGTTTTATCTGGAGCCTTTTGGAAACAATTCTGATATATTTTGCTAAGTTACGTAAAGTGTTTGTTCTCTTGGATTTGAAAAGGTTCGCCATTTTTGAGAGATTCGGCCATTGTAGAAATTCATTTGGGATAAAAATTGATCTTTTCCGAAATGAAGGCTTCAAAATGACGATGGAACTTATCTGCAACTGCTGGTGAGCTGCAGAGAGGGCAAAGTCGCTCTCCTCTGGGTACTCCACTCCAGCGGCCAGTCTCAACCGGTAGGTTATGGTTTATGGTTCGGAACATCAAAAGTTGCTGTGATATAGCTTTAGGAAGGAGAAGATATATTTCAAAATCTGGGGAGTGTTTGTACCATTGATAATAGATACCTTTTGGGCTTGTCATGGTATTTTCTCTCTAATTTTAATAAACTGATCTTTAAGGATTCGTTCAACATTTGATACAAACCATGGAGTGGAATACCAAAGTTGATTATTTAGAACATTACTTAATCCAAGATTATTTAGGATACGCCTGATGGAATTGAGCCAGGGATAATCGTTACAATTGATTTAAGAGTCCAATGTGATAAAATTATAAATTACTTGGGATAATTTCATTACATCATTTGGAAGATTCAACTTATGCCAGAAAGCAATCATACGTTTGTATATCTTGCAGCTAGTTTAAGAAATTTAAGGTGTACCCGTTCAATTAAGTCCAAATTTTCAAAACCCCATACCTCTGATCCATATGTTAGGATAGGAACAACTAGAGTATCAACTAATGCTAATACCGTATCCAAAGGTAGGTTTAGGTTACGGGGCTTTCTTGAGTAATGCATACAATGCTTTTAGTGCATTGTCACATAATGTTTTTATTCCGCTTTTAAATCTATTTCTATGCATATTAATCCCAAGATATGTATAGGTATCACCTATTTCTAAAAGTTTCTTAGCATGAAAGAATGTTAGTTTCGAGGATTTAGCTGGCCCTCCTTTAAATATGAGTATTTTAGTTTAACTGATATTCACATTCAACTTCATCGAAGTTGAGTAATCACAAAAAGTATTTAGTGACTTTTGTAGGCCTTCTGGTGTAACATCAAATATATCCACATAATGACATCGGAATTATATGGGCACTTGATATCGACACTTACCCCTGCACAACCTTTCGATAACAAATATGATTCCAAATCATTTAAGAATATAGAGAAAAGAAGCGAAGAAAGGTTCTCTCCTTGTCTTACTCCGGTGAGGCATGGGAAGTAATCTGAATAAGTAGTATTTACCTGGACTATGAGATTTGATGTCTTTATACATGTTTATTATTAATGTAACAAATATTTGCGAAATCCAGCCTGGGCGGATGATAAAATCGCGTTTTTGTCAAGAAGGTTTGAAAGTCGCGTATTAAGTATTCGTGTGAACTGTTTCTCTAAGCAGCTTAAAATTGTGAAAGGTCTATAATTGCTTGGATCTTTGGTATCGCCTTTATTTTATATATAGGCTGATGCTATAAAGCCACATTTCGGGCAAAGAACCTGTTGTAAGTACCAAATTGAAGAATCAACATAAACCGGTGCTAAGATTTCGGCCAAATCAATAATGTAATCGTTTTCTACCTGATCTACACCCGAGGCTTTATTTCTTTTCAAATCCTTTATTGCTTTTATGATTCCCTGCAGCGTTATATCGTCATTCAATTCTGCACAGTCATGTGTTTCTGAAATTGAGTCAGTTTCATCTGCGCTCTCGTTATCATTACTGGTTACCACTTCAGTACTATTTTGAGATTTGAAATAATTGAAAAACGTCTCAATATCTGGCATTGCATCATTCAATGTTTGTTCGGCATATTTATTAAATAACTTCCAGAAT